TTGTTGCCCTTTGGACATGCTGCAGCACCTCAGTGTCCTCACAGAAGTGTGATTCCGTAGAGACTCATGTGGTTCTCCCCTTCCCAGGAGATGAAGAAGGCACAGAAATTGATACTCTGCAGTTCCAGCTGAAAATAAAATGCAGCCGAAACCCGCAGGCAGCCAAGGAATCATCTGATCCTAATGAATTATATTTCAATCATAAAGGTAAGATCTCTCCTAAAAATAGGTGCTGTTTTTTTGATTTTTTTGTCTTGAGAGACAGAATTTGGTTTGTTCTCCCAGCCCTGTAAGCAGAGAGCCCCTTCCTTCATTCTGCTAAGACAGCAGTTTGCCATACCAGTCCTGTACAGGTCAGCGCCCTGCTCTGAGCCGGCAGCTGGCTGATGCTTGTGGCTTCTCTTTGCAGTGTACAGTAAACACATGACGTGGGTGCCCCTGGGCAACCAGACAGACCTCTTTCCAGACGCTGACTTCCGACCCGTTCACGAGGACATCCTCATCGCACTGCTGCGGCCTGGCCAGGAGATAGATGTGCTCATGCACTGTGTCAAGGGCATAGGTGAGTTGTGGGTAGAGGTGACCTGGGGCAGCAGAACCGCGAGTGCTTGGACTAGGGCACAGCTCTGTGAAGGGGACGGGTGGAGAACTGGCTTTCCCCCTGGAGCTTTAGGCCCCAGCATCCTTGTGCTCTCGTTCCCTGAGGCCTGCTCTCATCCTTGACTCTTAACTCTTTACTCTTTACAGGTAAAGATCATGCCAAGTTTTCTCCTGTGGCCACAGCTAGTTATCGCCTGCTTCCTGACATTACTCTCCTGCAGCCTGTTGAGGATGAGGCAGCTGAGAAGTTGCAGAAGTGTTTTTCCCCTGGAGTCATTGAGATCCAGAATATCAAGGGTACTTTCTGCCTGCTATAAGTGTCTTGTTCCTCACAAGTCTTAGCAGAGACTGATTAGAGACTAGAGCCAAACCTCGTAGAGACAAAAACCACGTTGTGCTGTTTCCTTGCTGATCAACCATTCGTGCTATTCTGAACCTAATTTTATGGGTCAGTGGCTGTCACACGCAGATGTGCTGGGTGATGAACTGAGATCTCCCTGAAATGCTGAGACATTGGTCGTCTGTCCACAGAGCTCTGCAGCTGCTGGCTGCAGCTTCCAGTGCTTTTCAGTTGTCCTTAGGACTGAGTAGTGAGCTTGCTTTTTCCAGAAGCTGAACATGGAGAAGACTTCTTATGGCCTGCCCAGGGGCACATAACAAGCTTTGCGTTCGGGTTGGAACTGTTCAACAAGACCAGTTCTTACAGTTGGGGGCTTCATGCTAGAGATGTGCTAACTCTTTATATTGGTGGCTGCATTGCCTTTGCTGAGGGGGGGAGTCTGTGTTTGAGAATTAAGCACCTGCTGTGACCACAAGACGCCCATCTATTGCAGGCACCCATCTCGTTTCATCTTTTCCCCTGTAGGAAAGAAGGTGGCAAGAGTAGCCAATGCACGGCTGGACACGTTCAGCAGAGAGGTTTTCCGTCATGAAGGTCTGAAAAACCTGGTGCGCCTGGCGAGAGTACGAAACCATTACATCTGTAAGTGCCCCCTGTTCCACAGAACACAGAGCCCAGCTGTGGTTTGTGCCAAGAAGCAGAGACTGGCCAGGGCGTATAGCTACGTCTCTGCCTCCCCCTTCCCACCCACACCATCAGCACTTATTCCCCTGTTCCAGCGGGGAACTGCGGGGGTTGTGCTCTGGCAGCACGGGGAGAATGTGTCCGGGCTCCCTGCTGGCAGAGGTAACCTCTCCTCTGGCTTGGCAGAATTGTGGTGAAGGGAAGATGAGGCAGAAGTGCTGGAGCCAAGTGTAGCTGAAGCTGCCCAGTGGCTGTCCTGACTTATGTCTCTGTGCAGTTTCAGTGGAGTCGACGGGTATCTTGCCTCCAGATGTGCTGGTGAGTGAAGCCATCAAGATCCTGATGGGAAAGTGTCAGCGTTTCCTGAACGAGCTGGACTCTGTGCCCATGGAGTGACCGTGCTGTAGCTGGGAAGCGTATCCTGCATCTGCTTGCAGGGGCAATTCCTCTCCTCTTCCATAGGCTAGAGGTTTGAGATGGGCTTGGGAGCCCTATCACCATCTCTCTGAGCTTGTTTACTGTTGGTAATGCGCATCAATGAGGGGATGCACTAAAATAAAGGCTTTTATTTACAGCTGTCTCCTGTGCTGTTCAGATTGTTGAGACTAATACCCAGAGAAGCAGCAGGTCTAAAGGTGAATAATAGCATTTATTTTGGATTGTATGCAGTGTGTGAAGAGGACAAATAGGACAGTATGGAAAAGCACTTTGCAGCAGGTCAGTGAGATTTAATGTCTGTAGTGGCACAGGACTATTGCAGGTGTCTCAAGACAGCTCTGGAGTGGTTAATGTGGTAGATAACAGGCTGTACTGTCAGAGGGCTGGGACACCTCTCCTAGGATGAAAGGCTGAGTGGGGATTGTTGGGCCTGGGAAAAAAAAAAAGAGTCCCCCTGAGTTGGGATTGTTCCACCTGGAGAAGAGAAGGCTCTGGGGAGACCTTGTGGCCTTGCAATATATAAAGGAGGCACAGAGAAAGACTTTACCAGAGCCTGTAGTGATAGGACAAGGGGCAACAGGGCAATGATTTTAGACAAAATCATTAGATTTTGTCTAAAATGTAATGATGTCTGCCCCTGTTAGAGGGCAGACTTGTCTTCAGCAGTGGCTGTCAGAGGTGCACAGGCCATTCCTCACTGCACGCCGCTGTGTGCGCATTGCAGCTTTGGAAGCTCTGGTTCCTCCATCCCTGAAAGTGTTGTAGGCCAGATTGGCTGGGACTTTGAACAACCTGATCTAGTGACAGGTGTCTGGTGGGACTACGTGGTCTTTGCTGTTCCCTTCCAGCCCAAGCCATTCTATGACACAGTACTGGGCTTCTCTGTATTTTTTGCACGGTGTTTAAAAATATGCTCTGTAAGGACTGACTGTCCCTTCTCAACTGTTTCAAGGTAAGGGAGGTGCTAGATGGGACTACTCTGTTCTCCCTTTCAGTGACTGCATGTACTTTGGGCTGATCTTGAAGCAGAAGTAGATGGTGAAGGCCAAGTGTCAGGGGCCTGGCTGCTCCCAGGGAAGCCTGGGAGAAGTTAGAAATTAATCTCAGGGGTGAGCACTACTGTTAGTCAACATGTGGTAGGGTCTTAGCGTGTGAAAGTCCCTCTTGACAAGCTGATGAAGGACCTGTCACTTCAGAGGAAGGCTGGGAGCACTGGTGTGTAACTTCACGGTTAATTTCCCATTCCAGGAGCTGTGTGTAGCAAGAGCTCACTAGGGCTTGGTGCATCTTCAGCAGCATCTGCACCTTCCTGTGCTACTGCTTTGCTCATCTCCCACACTGCTTATGGGACATACCTTGGAACAGCCACAGCAAAGAGCTTTGCTAGGACAACATGGACTCCTTCAAGCTGTGAACTGGGACCTAGTGGCTGTTGTAGAATTACTATAAACCAGCTGTAAGTGATATAGAAATAAGTCAAACTGCAATTTTGCTCTTGCATTCTAAAAATGAAACATGACACCACATATATGAAACTGGAATAGCTTTACTGACATTCAGGTGTAACACAACCAGTTCAGAGACGGCTTCAGATTTAAACATTCCTACAAAAAAGGTTCTAAAAACCATTTAAAAAAAACCCCTTGTGTCTAGCATGAAGTCACAGAATGTTAAAAATACCACAACACAAATAAATACACCCAGCCTTTGCCAGGGCCAGGAGCCATGTTAGCTCAGAGGTTAAAAAATTTTGAGGCCAGGAGGAAAGTGGGGGGTGCTGGTGGAACAGCAAGGACAAGAGGGTGAGTGGATTCCCAAGGCCTGCTCTTCCTTTCTGCACTCCCACCCCTCCCAACTCCAGCTCTTCTGTCCAGTCTATCCGAGTGGAGATGCCACCTTCTCCACCTGCCAGTTTATTACTTTTCCATCTCCTGCATGGCAGAACTGCCAGCTTCCTCTGGACAGACCCTTGTGAACCACCTGTCATGGAAGAAGAACTGGCTTTGCAGACTGGAGTGGCTTGATAGAGTCCCACCTCATATAAAACCCAGTTTCCAACCTGGCTCCCCCCTGTAAACTGCAACATGAACCCCACCCCTCCTGCTCCACCATGCAATTCTCTGAGAAGTACCAGATTGGGTAAAAACACAGGCTACTATCATCTCCACAGCAACAGGGTGAGGAGATCCCTTTTGGTTTGCAGGTGCTTCGGATATTGGTCCAGATTTTGTGACCCTGCGCTGGCCATGTTGTAGTCTACACGGTGTGGTAAAAAGAAAAAAATAATTAAAAAAAAAAAGAAATTCTGTCCTGCTCCCCCTGAGAGATGTTCAAGAAAGGCTGGGCACAAAGTAAAAGCCTTCCATTTGGCTCTGGGTAGAACAAGCTGTAGGATCATATATATATATGTATGCATATATATATGTCTGATGGCGTCTGCCTCTTTCTGGAGAGCAGCTGCACCTTAGAAAGGCTGATCTCGAGGGAGACCCGAGAGCACTGCGGCACCTCCTGGCACCCAGCCCTCAGCCCAAGGCTCAGCATCCTGGAGGGCAACGGATTGATCAGATACCAGTCTGCTGGGGACAAGTGCTGACAGGCATGACAGGAGTGTCTGATGTGTTCTCCACAAAGCCTGGCTGCTAGCACCCAGAGGAAGATTAGGGTAGCCCCTTTTCACTTAGCCCACTACTCTGCCTTCTGCCTTAATCCTAAGACCCAAGGAATGAAGAGATGGAGCAAGAGTGACCCAAGGCTACAGGATGACCAGGCTTTACCTAACAGAACCTATGGGCTCAGCTCCCACCTTGCAGAGAAGCAGAGGTCTAAAGATGCTCATCCAACCAAGGGGAGGGGAAGGTATTGGGGAAAGCTTAATAGACTGGTTCAAATGCCACCACAGGCCCCATCCCAGTGTAGGGAGGAGAACGGGACAGGACCCGTAAGGGGCTTTATTCAGACAAATGCTTGTGGAGGCGATGACAAGGAGAATCTAATGTGCTTACTATGAGGAGAGACAAAATATAAGATAGGGGAGGAGATGTCTGCAGCATCCCAGGCTCAGGGTTCAAAGAGCACAGTGAGGCCCTCTCCATCCTCGTTCTCGATGGCGTCCGTCTCCAACGATGGCTTCACCTTTTTGAAGAGAGATGGGAGGTTCCGGATATGAACCTCCTTGCGGAACTGCTCTGCGAGGGGCTTCTGCAGAGGACAGACAGACAGGCATCAGTTGTTATGGCCTTCACCCCCCCACTCAGATCAGAGGCAGACCCCAGACTGAGCAATCCCTAGGCCTGCACCTTGTGCTTGCACTTTGTGGAACCTCAGGCCTGGTCCTTCCTAAATGCCAGCGCACTGAGGTAACCACCACCGCACCAGCTCTCCAGCTTCTCATTCAATGCCACCATCCTCACAGAAGCCCAGCAACCACCTAGCAGCTTCATTCAAACACTTCCAACACCCAGCTCCCCCAGGCACCCCTGTGCAAGGTACACCCTGCCCCTCTGGGGGAAGTCGCTGCTGGAGGGGCTGCTCAGCCTGTGCTGCCATCCCCACTGTACCTCCAAGCTGGAGAGGCAGAACAAACCCTGAGACCCTCCTGCAGCAGCCTCCTGGCTGGGATGGAGGGGGCTGGGGAGAGGCTGGCAGGCTGGCCACCCGTCGCTTCTGCAGGGTACGGGGCTGCAATTAAACGGGTCGCCTACCCCAATGCAGCCTGCGATCAGGCGCTTGAAATGATCCTTCCGGCGCTTGTCTGCCATCTTCTGCAGCGTCAGGTTGAGAAGCTTTGAGTCAAACTGCTCCAAAGAGTCCCTCGGGATGTCTGGGACCTGCTCCATCACTGTCTTCAGCTCGGCGTAGCGAGGGCGCTGCAGGGAGGAGCGTGGTTAATGCAGCTCTGCCAGAGCAGCTGCCCCATCTGCCTTGGGGGCCATCGGCTCCTCTGCCCCTACCCAAGGGGGTGTGAGGTCAGTTTTCCACCACTCCCCAGCCAACCTCCCATCTGGATTAAGAGCAGAATTTCTTACCAAGGCCTCGTAGATCTGGAAAGCCAGGTGGACAAGAGCCGCCATGCAGCCGTCGTGCTGCCCGTGTATCTGTAAGCCCTTCAGCACACTAGTGAAGAACCAGGACACAGCATCAGGCAGGAGGTTTCCTGGAAGCACCTGGGAAAGACGTGCTGTCAGCATGGAAGCAGAATACTGACACTTGACTCCCTTTCTGCTGCACCATGGTCTTCCCAAGGGAGAAAGTGCCCAAAGGTGAAGCAGTCTTACTGCTCACTACATTCAGAACTTCCTCTCACAACCCTGCCAGAACTAATCCTTTCTTCCTCCCAGAGGTACCTGTTTGAGCAGTGGCCAGCAAAGCTGGGTTGTGGTTTTCTGGCAGGAGAAAGTGTCCTTCCAGCAGAGGGATGTGTAGGCAGTGATCAGCACTGCTGTGCAAACATCCTGAAAAAGCCAGAGGGAAACCAGTCAGAGGAACTATTTTCCACCTGTAGGGTTCAAACCTGAAGGGAGCCAAGAAGCAATCCAGGGACTCTGCAGGAGCTCCTCAGGGCTATCTTCTGACAATCCTGCACGCTGCTGCTGCTCCAGCTGAAGGTGCTCAAAGGCACTCAGTGTGCACCACCATAGCTATGAGCAACCAGGATCAAGCAAACCTGCTCCCTTCATCTTTCCTCAAGAGGCCCTCAAGAGCACCCATGGACTCCCATCAGCTGCTACTCTCAAGTCAATGCAAAAGCTTCTGTAAGAGCTTCTGAGGCATCCACAGGAGAGGAGGAGTACAGAGGTATCGGGATAAAGGTCCTCTCCACAGCCACTTGTGTTAACACTGTGGCTCCTGTACCAGCTCTGGCAGATTTTACAGAAAAGCAGCTGCTGGGTGAAGTTCTTCCTCATGAAGGCTAGAGCCCAGAATGGAGGCAGAGCCACAGAGCACCTTGGGGGCTGAAGGCCCAGAAGCTCACCCACAGGAGGGCTAAAACTCTGTAGCTGTATGTTATACTGGATCCCAACCCCCATTTGCTTTGTGACTTCTGCAAACATTAACAAGGCCCTTAAAAACCACCCAGGTTCCCATGAGAAGATTCTCACCCTGGGCAATGCTCCAGCACCCTAGATCCTTGTGGCAGCATCTGGCTGCACCACAGACAAGCGTTGACAAAAAGTACAGAGAAAAGATGGTGGAATTCAGAGCACGGGCTCTTACCTCTTGCTTCATCAGACACTTGCCAAGCTCGGTGAGCTCTGCGCTGGTGGGAGGTGTCATCTCCGTGGCCATGGCCTCATCATCTGCGGAGCAGAGCGAGAGCAGCCCTGTGAACGTGGCTGGCTGAGGGGGACACAGCACCAGCTACGCTGGGAGCCAGCACACAGAGCTGTCATGCTGCCACAGCCTGCCAGAACATCCCTCTCCAAGCAGAAAGCACCCACCCTATGTGAGGCAGGAAGGGCACCCAGCTAGCTACCTCCAGCTCTCGGGGAGACTGTGCACACTCCCCCCTCTTCTCCTCAACCCTCTTTTTGGTACCTTAAGAATCAGCTGCTCCAGGCGGACCAGGTTTTTCTGTGGCCCCCAGACACGCTGGGCATGACAGAGCTGAAGGCTTCTTAACAAACCTATGCCACCCCCCACTCCCAGAACTTCCAGCAACAGGCCAGTGTCTCCCTCAAGAAATGCATGAAGAAATGGGAAAAGCGCTTGTACAGACCAAGGGCAGGAAAGGCATTTACTCACCATCTCCATCTACAGCAGCAGCACTGTTATGCTCAACACCCTTCTTGGAAACACAGCAAACAGCTGCAAAAACAGTTGCAGGTCAGAGAAACAGAAAAAGGAAGATGCTACTTCAGAACATGCAGAGATTATCCTACAGGCTCTGATGGACTCACATCTGCTTCAAGCTCCCTCAGCCCTTACACAGTATCTGAAGAATCTGAAAGCCCAGTATGAAAACCAAATACTGCACAACCTGGAAGCCTGTCGCACCTCACCTACAGCATCCTCCCACACTGGAACCTGCTGCATGGTGGCTTGCTCAAACTACTGAGAACCAGGAAAGTGCAAAACCATTTTGAAGCCTATGACCTGAGAAGAATGCCACCCTAAGGCAACAAGGCCAATCAAGAGAAGAGATACAAAGTTGAGGATCTGTAAACTCTGTGCTGAGTCAATTTCCCGAGCTCCTCTGCGCAAAGCCACCCTGACAGAAAACAGGATGTTGGGAGAAAGGGAATGCAAAGAAGGAAGACTGCTTTGGGGGAGGCACTCTTCCCTTCTGTCTGGCTAGAGACACAGCAATTACCAGCAATGGAACTGCTGTACACTCAGGCTGTCCACAAACTGCTGTCTTGTATCGGGCTCAAGTGCACAGAAAGGGAGAACCCAGATCCCAGAGCATGGCAGTCCTACAGGGACAGTGCCAAACCCATGGAACCCTAAATGCCAACAACAAAACAAAAAGAAGAAACTCTCTTCTGAAGGTTTTTAATTGCTCCCTTAGTTTTACTGCACAATGGAACTTCCTGTTGTCCTCTCAAAGGCAAGCTACCTGAATATCCCAGGGGACCTAGCTTGAGTGCACTTACTGATGAGATCCATGACTTCTCGGGTCAGCAGCCTGACCAGCTGTTCCTCAAGCATCTCCTGAGACTCGGGGTTGTCATCTGCAGCATCATCCTCACTGAGGAGAACAGGTTTTAGTGTGAAGGGGGCCAATCTCTTAAAGTGCCCCCTCTGCCCAAGCACAGGGACTAAGTCACCATTAGGGTAAACAGTGTTTTCCAGCCTTGTGCTGCAGGACTGTTCCCTGGGCAAAGGGCCCTGTCAAAGACCAAAGCTCCATCCCACTTCCCCTTTCCCCTCACATCAAGGGGTGGAAGCTTACCAGGGAATGCTCCGCTGGCTGATCACCTGCCATTTCTGGGACAACCTCTGTTCAAGACAAAAGGGAAGATTCAGTACCCTCCTAAGGAGCCATGCTGGACACAATGCAAAGAGGCCCCAGTGTCAGCTGCTGACAGAAGCACAAGAACTCTCATGCCAAGCCCTGTTTTGAGTGGGACAAGAACAGCTACCAACAGTGCTGAAGATGCTGTGGCTGTGCTGGCTGTAGGAATCTGAGAGAGCCGTCAGAAAAATGAGAGAACATGGGTAAAAAAA